TCCAGCCACCTTCAGTCTCGTTGCCTGGTTGCCGCTTCCCTGAGCATGTCTCCACTGCCCCTTCCCTTCTGGTTTTCCAGAAAGCAGCCCTGAAATCCTCCCTTCCCACATTCCTTTATATTCACCCCAACTCTCACTCAGCCCCTCTTCCTTTCTCTCCACAGGGTACACCCATGCAGTCCCAATTATCCCAAGTGAGTATTCCTGGCCCTGCTTTCCTGGGTCCCATTCACACTTTTGGATTGGAGACCAGATGTTCTCCTTCTCCTCTTTTCCTAAGTTGAGGGGGACATCTGGAAGGGTCCTCAACTCATCCCTTCTCTCGCTTTCCTGGGTAGAGAGTCCCAGCTCAGGGTGAGGAGGGCTCAGGCACAGATAAGTTCTCCCACCCCACTCTGACCCTCACATGGTTGTTATTTTGATTCTCTTAAAAATCTGCTCTTGGGGTCCTGCACCTGTAATCCCAACACTTTGGGAGGCTGAGGCGGGAGAATGCTTGAGGCCAGGAGTTCAAGACCAGACTGGGCAACATAGCAAGACTCCATCTCTACAGAATCTAAAAAAAAATTAGCTGGGGGTTGTGGCACATGCCTGTAGTCCCAGCCACTTGAGAAGCTGAGGTGAGAGGATCCCTTGAGCCCAGGAGTTCCAGGCTGCAGTGAGCTATGATCACACCATGGCACTCCAGCCTGGACAGCACAGTGAGACCCCATTTCTAAAAAAAAAAAAGAAAAGAAAGAAGGAAGAAAGTGAGGGAATGAGGGAGGAAGGAAGGAAGGAAGGAAGAAGGAAAAAGGAAAAAGAAAAGAAAAGAAGACCTCATTGGGGGTGGCAGAAACATCCGCCCTCCCCCACACCCACATCTGAGGATAATGCCCTGACTCCTGGCTAAATGGGGCATACAGAGGCACAAATTTTTATAACTAGAGCCTCCAGCACTGCCAGCCTTCCCGTAAAGGTGTAACACACTTTGGATTTCATTCCTGGTCGTTTTTTTCTCAGCAGCTCTGACCACCACATCCTTCAAAGCATCCTCCAGCCAGGCCCACAGATAGAAAGGCTCTTATTGATACCAAATCATTTCCACAAAATAATCCATACCCCATCACTGTGTCTCTCTCATTATCCACTCACCTTCTCCAAGGAACTCAGGATCCAAGTCCTGAGTCCAACCCAGAAAACACAGCAGGTGCTGGCCATTGGTCCACGCACCTCCTGGATGTCGCTCATGTCCCTTGGCCTCATCCTCCAAACCTGCTCCTTGCCCCTCCTCACCAAACGCAGAGGCAGCGCACTGACATTGACCTTTCCTCCAACTCACCTCCCACATCATCCCTCACAAAATCTCACCTCTTTTCCCTTTGGGATATCCCTCAAGCCCCTCGTTTCTCTGCATCTGTGTCACTCAACCTTCTTTCTGGCCACCAGCATTTTTCACTAGGACCATTGTAGTAGCCTCTACTCTGGCCTCCTAGTGTTCTCCACACAGCAGCTTCCTGTCCCTCCCACTGTATCTATGCCCACATCATTCCTGTCTTCTCCACAATCTTGGATGACTCCACCTGGTCTACAAGTCACATCCAAACCCCTGTGATTCCTCCCTCTTTTGGACTCAAAGGATTCTCCAATCTCACATCTGTGTCCCTGTAATGAAAGACCATCTGATGCCTTGAGCTTACCCTGCTCTGTCCTCTTTCAAAGGCTTTTCCCAGGCTGTTCCTTCTGCCTGGAGTGCCCTCCCCACGTGCTTAGCTCCTCTTAACCTAACTCTTCGTCATGCTTTTGGCCATGCTGAAATGGTGTTTCCTCTGGGAAGCTTTCCTCCGTCATTGCTTCAATAGTCCTCCTGGATTTGCACAGCCGCCCCCACCCCAGGCTTACCCTGAAGCACAGTAGTCTGGTGACATCCCTGTCCACAGCATCAGGAGACTATGCCCTATTCAGCCTTGCACCCACAGAGCTCAACACAGAACACAGCACACATTTGGTGCTCCATAAATGCTCACTGATTGAAAGAACAAAGGTTCCTGACGTCTTGGGAATTCCAGAATCTTTCCGGCTGGTGCCCCACGGATAGGGCCACAGCAGCCTCGGTCATTACTGCTGTGGCCCAAACTGGACATCTCTGTCTCCCTCCCCAATTTCAGCCACTGGCCCTACCCTGGTGACCTTCACCGTCAACTTTACCATCACCAACCTGAACTACACGGAGGACATGGGGCATCCCGGTTCCTCAAAGTTCAACTTCACTGAGAGGTCCCTACAGAGCTGGGTGAGATGACCGCCACCAGCCCCACCTCACAGCTGCCCACACGGCCCCTCTGCCCCTCCTCAGCCACCTCTCCCTCTCTTCCCGCCAGCTCTCGTCCTTGTTCGAGAAGACCAGTGTCCACTCCATCTACGCCGGCAGCAGACTGGCCTCGCTCAGGTGAGACAAGCCCCCCACCCCGGGTGAGAGCCAATCCTCAGACTGAGTGGACCCTTGTGCCCTGGCCCCAGGGCTCAGAGACCACTCACACCACAGGGGTCCCAGTGCCCACCACAAGA